TCAGATGTCACATTCTAGCAGGTTCTAGAAGCTTCTATTAAGAAGTGAGGAAGCTGGATCCTGACTTCCAAAGCCTGAGACCGCTGCTGTGCTGATTTGCAAGAGGAAGCCAGTCCAGAGGGTCAGAGCCTCCCCTGCTTTTCTCCTGGTGGAGAGAAGCATGAGTCTTGTGTCTCAGAACAGACACCAGCTGTTTTGTAATGAGGCCGTGAGTGAGTGGCCCTTAGCTTGAAGAATTGGCTCCCTCCCCCCTCAGCCTCCTTGGTTCCGATTTCAACCGTCCAACCAGAGGAGTGACAGGTCCTTTTGAAACATCAGATTGTGGTATGCAGAAAACCCCCAGAAAAATGCAACCATGGTTTTTTTTTTTTTTTGCCTCGCAATGAAAATATCAATCCTTTACTCTAGGAGAAAAATGACATACTCATACTCTGGTTTTTAAATGCAGTGATTCCCAAATGTACTTCCCAGATCAGCAGCATTCCAGTATCACTCGGGCACGCGCTCAGAATGCAGAGTATTGGGTTGACTTGGGCTGTAAAGAGTCGGAAACTCTGAGGGTCAGGTCTGGGAACCCGGGCTTTAACAAACCCTGCACGTGATCCCGATGCGCCTGCAGGTGTGAGGCCCGTGGGCTTAATAACAAAACCCATGGTCTTGCTGATTGGTGGGAGCATACATTTCTGGGGTTTTATCTGGGTGTCTTGTTGCAGAGATGAAGGGAGACCTGTTGATGAGAGAGGAGGAAGACATAGAGACTGGGGCTTTGGGGCGCAGAGGTGCTTGATAGACCACTCCCGTGTCTTCTGACTGAGAGCATTTCCCACCTGTGGGGTGGGGGTGGTGGGCAAAGATGGTGGAGCAGCTGTATCCTGTGCACCCCTCAGGCTGACAGTAAGATGCTCCAAGCAGAGCTGCTTAGCTGCGCTGGGTTCTGTCAGCCACCTGTACTTAGATAATTACCTGCCTGGGGTGGCCTCCTTGTCCCATTTTGCCCAGGACTGTCTTGGTGTTAGACTGAGCCCCATGTTCCCGCAGGTCTAGGCAAACTGAGATGGTTGGTCACTGGTCCCCTAGTTCAGTGCCTGCCCATTGGAATTACTTTGTGAGCTTACAAAATGACTGATGCCCGAGGCCACACCCGGAGGTGGGAAGACTTGGTCTCTCATTCACTTCAGGGAGAGGGAAAGCAAAGCCTTGAGCCTGCTGGGTCCTGATTCCTTTCAACGCAAAGCAATCTGGGTGCCAACCTGGCCTATTTTGGAGGAGGCCTGTTCTGCTCCCCCACAGACACAGTGGTCTGTAGGGCAGAATGGGGGTGGGGCAGCATGTCTTGCCCCCTACATTGATTCCTCTCCAGCTGCTTCAAGTGGCCCCTTATTTTTTTTTTTAAGATTTATTTATTTCTGCATACAGAACTAGCGTACAAGTCAGAAGTGCAGGGGCTGTGAGAGGATTCACCAGAGACAGAGTGGGGAGCAGAACAGGCCAACTGACAAAGTATACCACTGAGGGGAGCATAAGGTGAGACAGGAGAGGTCTGCTGTGCCATATGGGTCACTCCCTGGCCGGGGATCGAACTCACAATGAAACGGCTGCAGCCAGCATGCAGTGCTGCGTCCTAACCTGTTGCATCAGCAGGGAGGGCCCGGCCCCTTGTTTTTCTGTGTGACTGGCCCCTCACTGGCCCCGGCCTCAGGGGCACTGCCACCACCTGGGGTGACCCCAGTGCCAGGCTTTGTGTAATATTTGCTGAGGCTGTGGCTGAGGCTTCTAGGACATTGTGACTCATGAGATAATTTTTTTTTCTTTCAGTTCCATGGACCAAGCACAGAGAACCCTGGGCCAGCCCCCTTCTGTCCCCACCTCCCAGCCCAAGAAGAGAAGGACACAAATGATGTCTTTCTTTTCCAAGGTGTGACAACATTTTATGAACTGTCTGCTCCGGCTGTTTTGCCTCATTGTGCTTACCCGGCCTGTGGGCTTGGGTTCCTTTTTCTGAGAAAAGTTTGATGACAGTTCTTTAAACACAGTGTCTGTGGGGTGGCAAGAAGGTGTATTGCGAAGAGAGTTTACCTGGCCACTAATTTCATAAAAATATAGAGTGAACTGTAGTGAATAACAGTGATGAGCCTCGGTCATCCCTGGTCACCACTGCAGAGGTGCAGCGGGTGACCCTGTGGTTAAATTTCCACACAGGTACCTGCACCAGCGGCCCACTCATGCTCTTCCTGACCTAATTAGTGTGTGCCTCCCGGGTGGGGCTTCTTTCACGGACCCCGAAATATTTACAGATGTACTTTGTCCAAGGGCCGGGTGATGTTAAGATGAGCACTGAGAATTGAGCTTGGATTCAGGCACGTTGGCACCAGGGTGGGGCTGAATGGAAGGTTCTAGAGGGCCTGGAGGAGGAAGTGGAGAAAGCAAGTAAAGACCCTTGTTTCAGGATGGGGAAAAGCTAAGCTGGAAGAAGGCTCTTTCAGTGGGAGGCAGGGCAGCCTGCCTCATTCTGGGAGGGGTCCGCATTTGCACATCAACTTGCCAAGTCCCTTTCCTGTCCCCTCTCGCCAGCCCTGGCCCCCTGTGGCTCCCCAACCCTACCTCAGACCTACCTCAACATCAGCTCTGCTCTATTTTTCTTTACCTCTCTTTTCTTCTTTCTACCTTTCATTTTCTCTTCCTCCATCGGTTTCTTCACTATGTAGATCAAGCGAATCTATCCCCAGCAAAATCAAGTCTTTAGGAGGAGAAAGAAGGGGTAAGGTGGAGCAATAACACAGGCTCTTCTTTGGTGGGAGGGGCTGGGTTCAGGGCAACCCAGGTTCTGGATGCTTCTGCATCAGTTATCTTTGTCTCACCTCCCAGGCCTCTTGGAAACTGAGGTTCCAGAAGCAGGAGCCTCTGAAGAACACGTTTTTCATCTTGGCAGAAAGAGCCCGAGACCCCAGTGCTAAAAAGCGTCACATGGCCATGAGGGGCCTGGGGGCCATGGCCTGTGAGACCCCAGACAAGGTAGGAAGGGGGCGGCCTGGAGTCCCCAAGATCGGGACTGGGGGTGCTCCTGTAGTTTGCTCAATGCTGTGGGGCATGTCACCCCAGAGGTAGCAGCTGAAAGCAACAGGCATCCACTGTTTGCAGCCTCTTGGGGCCTGCAGCCCGGGGAGCGCTGTTCTGGTCCTCCAGCTTGCAGTCAGCGGTCAGTCCTTCCCGAAGCTCCGGCTGCTCTTCCAAGCTTATGTGGCCGTGGAAGGAGCCAGTTCCTGTTTTGTGGCTGGCAGGCTCCCTCAGCTCCAGAGACAGCTGACTTCTTTAAGGGAGTCTCACCCTCCTGTCTGCTCAGTCTGAGACAGTAGAAAGTAACCCTTGGAATGATTTCAGTCACTGCTGTCATATATGCTAGAAGCAAGTCACTGGTTCCTCCCACACCCCAGGAAAGGAGCTTGCATGAGACCATGATGCCATTAGGACATCATCAAACCTCATTATTCTCAGAATTGGGAAGCAGAGCTGCTGACAGGATTAACACAGAGCTGGACATCACCCCCTTTGTGTTTATTTCTAGTAATAAAAGCATACTTCTGTAGTAAGAGTACCTAGTTTCCCCCAGCCCGAGGTCCACCACCCTCCTACAAGAGCCCCACCAGGTGCGTCTACCCACAGGCCATGCTCCAGGGTGCTCCTCTCTTCTTCCAGCACTGACTTGGGCTCTCAGGTTAGGGAAATGGAAGCATCTGTACTTTGATGAGACCCAGTGTGACGCCCCGAGGAAGCCATGGTCTCTTAGTCCCAGCCCTGGGCCTTTAGATGGTTGGATGTAGAATTGCTGTTCAACCCAGGGGAGCAATTCCTGGGCTATTCATGCTTCTCCCACCTTGGCAACAGGTGAGGAAGTATAAGACCGTTGTTCTGGGCCTGCTGGTACACGGCTTGTATGACCCCATGAGCTCCGAAGTCATCCACGAGAGCATGAAGACGCTGACCATCCTCCTGAGCAAGAGCCAGGGCAAGGGCTTGGGCTCCTTCTTCATAGACATCACTCTTCAGACCAGGACCTTACTAGAGGATGTAAGTCGGGCAACTCAGCAAAAGTGGGGGTGATTCAAAACCCAGGTGGGATTAGAAACGTGAGCCCCGGGAGGGGTGCTGCTCTGGGCCAAGGCCGCTGGTATTCTCTTCTTTCTTGACAACACTTACTGAGAGACCCATCCCGAGCTGGGGCTTGTAGAGGCCATGAAGAAGTGTGGGCAGGATGCCAGCTTCAGCCCTCAGCGAGCATCCTTGTGATAGAAGCGTGACTGTGGACACAGGGTGACAATGTCAGCACGCGGGCAGTGTTCTCATCCAGTGTCATAGTGACAGCAGCACTGTGGCCCTTGCTGTATGCCAGGTACAGCCCCAGGTGTTTCCCGTGAGCTGCCTCACATACCCTTCGAAGTCACCTACGGGGCAGGCACCAGTACATCTCTTTATGGATGAGGAAAGCAAGGACATGAAACGTTAGGTAGCTTGCCCAGCTCCACAGAGCCAGGAAGTGGGTAGGAAGCCAGGCCTCCGGCTGCAGGGCCTGCATGCTTAACTACCAGGGGACCGGCCAGGCAGACTGGGCAAAAAGCGCACCGATTAGTTACACAGGGGAGGCTGTGGGGACTCTGGGAAGCCTCCTGTCACGCTGACCATTACCCTGCATTGACTGTGGAGAGGGTGGATTGACAGTAGCCAGTCACACACACGTGCCTGCCACAAACAGGCAGTCCTTCAGCTACACACACGCTTGTCCTAGTTACACACACTCACACACACAAGTAGCAGCCATGCAGAGCAGGAAACAGACCTTTTCTTCACTCACAGAGCATCTTGCATGAGGCCCCCACAACTCGCGCACAGCGAGGTCCGGATGCCCCACACAAAGACAGAGGCACCGGGAGCTCGTCCTGGGCCCTGGCGTGTGGCCTGTCGCCCGGGGTGATGAGACCCACTCCACTCTGCACCCTCAGGGGGTGGGCGAGGTCTCAGGTTAACTCTCCCCGGGCTGCTGTCCCTGACTGCCAGGACCATTCAGTTGTTTCCAGAAGCCCAGGCTGCTGTGATATTTCATCAGAGAGCCCTGGTCACGTGCAGCCCCACACACGCTGTGGGTGCTGTCTCCTGACTGTTTATACACCAAAGCTGAGTGTCACCACCTGCCCTCTGCTGTGCTGGTGACTGTCTGGCTCCGGCTGGGGGTGGGGCCTCACCTGTCTTTGTCGTCACACCTGGCCGTCACTCAGTGCTGACTGTCAGGTGCACCGTCAGGGGCTCGCGAGTTGAATTGTACGCATGCTCGTGCGCACACACACACAGACACACACACACGAGAACTGGTGATGAAAAGGCAGAACTACAGCTATTTCTATATATGTCACATATGCAAAAAAAATATTTAAGGACTTCCTAGATGCTCGGTGACCTTCAGTCTTGCTGAGTGTTTGTGACCCCAGATCTAGGACCCTTGCTGCTGGGCACGTTCTCCCAGCCTCCTTGCCTTTGCTTCTCCTGGTGACATTGATATGAAAATGCCTAAAGCAAGAGCCAGGAGGCTGGACCACCAGCCTGGTTCTGTTACCTGATGGAAATCCCTGGGTAATATCCTCCTAAAAGGGGGAGCCCTGGGCCTGACGCTCATCTCGGGAGAGGAAGAGAGGGTGGCTCCTGGGGGCAGAACAGCCATCACACTCAAGCTGGGAGGGCTGGTACAGAGGGAAGAAATGTAGTTGGCATTTCTGCTATAGATGGGAGGAACTCAGAGTGAAAGCAAGGGGAGAGAACCTGGTAAAAAATGTTGGGAGCAATAATAAACAGGGGAGGGGTCCAAAAAAAAAAAAAAGGACCTGCAATTTCAGTGTGTTTTGACATGGGAAGAGCTCCCAGACAGATGACCTGGTGGGAAGCCAAGGTGGAGGGCTGCGAGGGTGAGAAGGCTGAGACGGCAGCGTCCAAGGTGGCTTTTTCTTTTTTTGCCCTAATTTTCTGGCGGGCGATGCCTAAGACGGAACTTTGTTCACAGGGGAAGGGAGAAAAATTTGGAGAAGACGATTCCTGTTATTTGGAATCAACAGATGTATTCTGTCTCCCAAACATTAAGTAACACAAGAAAGCTGGGAGGTGGCGCCCCTCCCCCGCGGGGGGCTTTGGTGGCGGGTTGGGAATGACCCCGCTCGGCTCTGTTGTTTTGTTGACCGGAATCTGCAGGAGAACGACAGTCTGAGATATTCCGCTTTCGTCTTGTTTGGGCAACTGGCTGCGTTTGCTGGGCGGAAATGGAAGAAATTTTTCACCGGTCAAGTGAAGCAGACTCAAGATTCCCTGCTGATCCATTTACAGGATAGGAATCCCCAGGTGGCCAAGGTAAGCGGTGGGTGACTCTGGCCGCAAGTGTGTGAACTCTGCGCTTTTCCTAAAGGGAGCTGTGACGCAGCCTGGTTGACCCAGCGGCCAAACCCCAGTTGCTACTGGGTCAGCGATGGGCGTTAGCAGCATGTCGTGCGGATTCTGGAAAACGCGACTCCTCAGCCTAGTCTCCTTCTGAGCAAGCGCTATTTTCCAAGTGTTCCTGTCCCTCCCCCCCAACCCCAGCACCTGTCAGGGCTCGAGCCCTGGGTAGTGGAGGGCGGGGCAGAGGCGGCACGGAGGGAAGGTCTTTGGTCAGTCGTTGCTGCCCTGCGCTGAGCATGGACCTCCCACCCCTGGCTTCTCAGTTCCCTTTGAGCTTTGATTCCTGCCGCGGGGAAAGTGTGCTAAGGTGGGATGAGCCGCAGGCTGCTGGAATGGGACTGTATTAGTGTTTGGAGTCCCGTGGTGCAAAGGGTTGTCTTATCTTAATTTGTGCATTCATGCCCTGGGGTGGGGGTGGGGAGCGCACAGAGAGAGGGAATTAGGATTCAGAACTACTCTTGAGGAGACAATAACAAGAGTGCAGAAACCATAAAAGGTGCCCTCCCCCCAGCCTTAAATTATACTCACAGTCATTTCATAAGCATAAAGCCTTGTTTTCAGACATCCAACAAGTTACTTTCACCCTCCTAGTGCCCTTGAGACCTCATTACTCTGGGATGACCTTCCCGGCCCAGGATTATAAAACCCCGAACCCGATATGTTTTTCATGTTCGGACAGTAATATTCTTTCCTCAGGCTTGCAAGACTGCTTTTCGAGCCTGTTCTCCATATCTGCAGAAAAGGAAGGAGTACAGCTTTCAGAGTGAAGAAGATCAACGGAACCCTAAACTCAGCCGGCAGCTGGTGAGTGAAGGGGCAGGACAGGATGTCCCTGGGGGTTTACATAACACACTGGAGAATTAGCCCCAACTTCACCCGGGCCAGTGGCATCTCAGTGAAGCTGGCCCCATGATGTAGTGTAAGTCATAATCGCCTGGAGGATCGCGCAGACTGTGCATGACACAGACAGCTCCCACTTAGATCAGTGACCAGGCAAAGTTGTCCCCACGGTGAGATCTGCTATCCCTTGTCCTCATGCTCTGCATTGGGCAACTGTCTGCTCATTCTACAGTCAAGAGGCTTTGGGGAGCCTTCCCTCATGTGTACCTCTGCTAATTTCTTTCAGAGCCACTATCATCCAGAGCTCCTGCAGTTCTTCTACGCAAATAAAATTCTGTAAACACAGAGTAGCAGGAATGGTCCCACCCAAGCACACCCGAAGGGCTGACAGTCCTTCTTTTAACTCTTTGGATGCTTCTTTTTGTCTCTTGTGATTAATCTAGAAAAGGGGGTGTTGGGAGAGTGATGAATGGCAAAAATAATGCCGTGGAATTTGTATTATTATAGCCAAAGTAAATTCTAAGTTGCTCTTACATGTCCCACTTGTTCCCCATATAGGTTTGGCAAGAAAGTATATACTCCTTTAAAACATTGGCAGCCTATGTAGATTCTCAGCTTTTCCCTTCTTAAGTCCATCTCTGTCACCTTTTGTTGTGAATTTTATTTTTAATTACTGAGACTTAGAAGAATAAGTATTACCTTAACTATTTTTTACTGATTTTAGATATTTTGTTATTTGCTATCAAAACCTTTCCTTGGCAACACTTACTTCCAGGAGGTCAGAGTACAAGGAGGTGACATGACGGGGTATCTTTTACTCCTTCTCCTCAATAGTCATTACCACTAGATCATTCCAAGTAAGAACCAAGAGAAAGAAAAATTAATAAAGCATGTGTTGAAAGCCCTCAGGCCAATGGTAGCATATGGAATAATAATAGTAACATTGTGTATGTCTGAACACTGTCTTAGTGCTTTGCACGTCTTATTTAATATTTGTATGAGATAGGCATTTTTATTGTCCTCATTTTATTGAGTAGAAAATTTAGGCACGTGGAAATTAGGTAACTTGCCCAAAGTGGCCTGTCAGTGATGGAGCCAGAATTCTAGCCCATAGGTCCACCTTCTGGAGACTGTATTCAGTCACCATGCAACACATCATGGACGAATCAATGGCTGGTTAGAGATGTAAAAAAAACACAGAACAAAACAAGCAAATTCAAGTCCTCAGCTTCTTTCCTCATAGGAAAGTCAGTTTTGTTTTGCTTGTATTTGTATTAAGCATACGTTCCTTTTCATGAATTTATGTAAACTAAGTATACATTTTTATTAATCACCTCTTGGCTATTAAGTCATCAGCCCTATATTTTAATGATCAGACCTAGTTAAATGAGAGTGTCATGCAATCTCTTCATTCTCACACCTTCCCTCAATCAGATTGGTCCCAAGCTTCTATACAAATTCTGTTGTCACCACTGAATTTGCCATTCAGGCCCTGTCTGCATGCCATGTGTCCAGCTGTAGAAATGGAAAACACAATCAGCTCATAAAGTGGGAGGTGAGGAAGTGCCTGACTGTCAATCTGAGAAGCAGAAAGTCAGCTTTCTTCTCTAGCTCTCCAGAGGCATGAGGTGCATCCTAGGAGGCACAGGGTGTACGAGGTAGCAGAAGGGCCAGCAGGTGTGAATCAGAGTTCTCCCTGTTCTGAAGCTGGGGTGCAGCACAGGAGCCCCGAGGGACAGCATGGGAGCAGGTGGGGTGGTTCCGACCTGGGAGCCTCCTCTCTCTCCAGATGCTGGCCTGTTTGAAACTCAGTTGCTGGTGTGGTTTAAAATCAGATCAGTTCTTTCAAATGACCAGTCAGTGGTTAGAGAAACACGGCTGTATTTGGCTTGTTTTAAAGAAAGTGAAGGGAGTGAGGGGTAGGCAGGTTACTCGCTATTGAGTAGAAATAGCAGTGCATTTCTTACCCCTTTGCTGATGAAAATTGTGGCACATGCTCTTAGAGTGTCCCTGGATTACTGTTACTTTGGGACCCCAGTGAATCACACCTTTGGGCAATTAAGTGCCTGTCGTCCCCTCTCCTTGGGCCTAGATGCTTTGACCCTTAGAATGTGCTGGAAGTGTCACAGTGCCTGTACTGACTGGGCTGTGCTCTCAGGACCCTGGCAGCTTCCTCTGTTGCATTCAGGGGCACCAGCTGCCCTGTGAGATGTCAGGCCACTTGGGAAGGAAGGAGAATGTCTGTGATCCCCATATGGAAAGAAGACCAAACTAAGCACATAGAGTTTCCACATGGGGGAGGAAGACACCCAACAGTGATGTCTGGGGCCCACACACTGGACACAGCTGGCTCTGTGCAGGGGAGTCCCTGCACTCCCCTGTACAAGCTGACTCTGTAGCCTGTCCCAGGCCTTAGAATGTGAGCATGTAACCAGGTAACTGTTGTCAGTTGCTGACCTTCGGGTAGTCTGTCACTCAGCAGTGACTCACCAAGACAACTCCATGTTGTTTTTTCGGATAGTTTTGTTTTGCTGTTAGTAAGCCCTCTTTGAGACTGTACTCTAACAAGTCAGGTTATCACAGAATACAGTGGTGAAAGCCAAAGGACAAGACTTGCTTTTCTTTTGGTAGCTCGCTGTGTTGTCACAAGGGCCTAACACCACCAGGTGATAGAGAAGCATTTCTGAATGACTTCCTAGTTGCAAATTGTGGAGGAGATAAAAGCTAACTCTGGTTTACCATATGGACTCTCAGCATGGGCTCCTACTCTGCCTTGGCAACTCTTACTTCTGTTCCTGTCTTTGCTTCAGTCAAGTTTGACTCTTCTCTCTTCCCTATACAGTTCTGTGTTTGTGATATTTCCTTGCTTTAACTCTGTTCTTTCTTCTTTGAATCCCCATGCCCTCAACACACCCAGATACTCACCTGTGTGTGCGTGTGCACACACACACACTCACACACTTCACATGTATCTCTTACCCACACCTCAAGGCCTAGTTCAAATGCCTGATCCCCTAGTCTAGGGAAAACTTGCATCTCTGAATTCCCAGAACATTCTAGCAATCTTATGCCACTTAACATGTTTTATCTCATCTGAAAGATTATTTTTTACCTACATATCTTTTTTTTTTCCTGTTAGATTGAAGCTGCTGAAGGCAGGATCCTATCTTGTATATCTTTGTATCTCCCACATGACCTCAAAGGTACTCAGTAAGCACTCAGCAAATGAACTGGGGAGAAAAGAGTCAGAAAGTCATCTGAACCTATTACTCTGTGGGAGGAGCCTATTATGCAAATGAGATCCATCATACTCTATAGTTGATCTGCAGGTTACTGTTATGCTATGTATTTAAAGTTTGTCTTTCCTCACAAAGTGCTATCATGTTAAATGCTCAGTGGAGAAACAGAAATCTGGGTGCCTGTTTCATTTGGCTCAGGAGATGGGGTCTGTTTTCACGGGAGGAGAGACAAGAGGAAGACACAGAAAGTGAAGCTACCGGTGTGATCAGTATGGGCAACTTGTGTGAGCCAATTCTGTGGGATCCCAGACAGAAACGGCTTTAATTGAGGGAATGTTTCACACGTTATAAAACACACTGGGGTGTGTTTTCTAAAGAGCGAGAAACCAGCTGTATAGGATAGCCAGCAGATTGTGTAAATTGAGCAGATACCTATTTGTGCTTGTCTGCATTTTCCAAGTTTCCTGCTAGAGGTAGGTGTTACTTTTATAATCATAACATACACAGAGACACCCTCCTTTAAAACAAAAGGCAAATGCTTATCGGTGTGAAAGCTGTGCGTGGGAAGTCGGGGTGGTTATTGTTTACTCCCAGTAGTGTGTCCTTGCCTGTCCTTTGGTGATATTTTTGTTTTAACCTGTTGATGACATAACTGGTTGGTGACCAATAAAGTGACTTATGGTTGATTATGAGTTTACTTATGTTACATTCTTTCCTCTGACTGTAGGGTGTAAATCTTTTGTTCCTCTTTCATGTGCTAAAGGTTCTTAGGCAAACCTAAGCAGACGAGTACATGCAGCCCCATTTACTGAGCTGGGAGGGTGTGACATGCAAAACCTCCAGTTACTTACCGCATTGATCACAGGCCTCAAACCTGACATCTGAGATGCTTCACGACAGCCATCGACCTATAATTTTCCTTGACTCTCCCTGGTCTTCCTGTAACCGAACTCAACAGATCTGTTCTCTTGGTGGGCTGAATGAAAGAAGCAGGTGCACAGATGGAGGTGTAAATATGTAACCCCAGATGTATGCAGATATGTAAATGACTGACAACTTAGTTTAAAAAAAAATTTAAAGTAAAAACAAACAAGAGACACTGCCAAGATGCAGTGAATAAAGAACAAGTATTTATCTCCTTGTGACAAGGTAAGTAGAGAGCAAGAGCAGCGTTTCCAAAGACCCTGCCAGGGAGAGGGACAGTGAGGGGAAGGGCGTTGTTTGGGGTGGGAAGTTTTGCGGGAGCGCCTTGCCCCGTGGCTGCCTCCACTCCTCGCCAGCTCGGGCAGTCAGTCCTTCCCTTCAACTGGGAGATTCACAGAAAAACCTGCCTTCAGCGGCAAGTTGGCCATATACGTGAATTTTACATCTCACCTAGGGTTTATTTTTGAGCAAAAGGCTAACATGCAAGGTGACCTCTGCCTCGTGACCTGAGGAGAGGGATTATTTTTTTAACTCTTACTAGCCCTGTGCTCACAAGACTGCCTACATGATCCACTCTCCATTTCCTCGTTTCTGGCCATCATTTCCTGGGCTCATTCCAAATGCCCTTCTTCCTCAGCACTAGAACATAGCAGTTGGGAGGAACTGGCCCTAGAATTGAGCTCCCCTGGCTGGAATTCTGGCTCGCCCACTTCCCCATGTGACCCTGGGTAAGAGCCTACCAAAGGAAGCTTGGTTTGCTCCTCTGTGACATGGCCATAATGATCCAGCTTGTGGAGTTGCTATACTACAGAGATTCAGTCAGACAGCCCTGACCACGTGGCCCAGAGCTTGGCACTTAGAAGTTGCTCTGGAAATGACAGATAATTTTACTCCACTGTGCCAGCCAGCTCTCCAGATTTTGTTTCTTCTCTTCTTGACTCAGATCGCCAGAGAGGTCCATTCTGGCTTGTGGTTTGGGAATATGAGGGCCATTTTGATCCTCCCCAATGAGTGTTCTAAGGGGCAACTCTGCACCCTACTCCCCACCAAGTCCTCCAGTCTGTAGTTTTGAGCCTTGTCCACATGGCTGCTCAATAAAGAGAGGTTAGCTTGTTGAATTGCAAGCGCTGGTGCCTTGACCTTGCATGAATCAGAGCCCAGTATGTTTTGATAATCAGGGGAATCACAACCAAGTAACACCCAGCCGCTGTTTCCCTGGACTCTTGCAGAGGTGTTGTAAATGCTGAGAGCAGGAACAATGCCCCCTCAGCCTCCTGAGAGGGCTTAAGTGGGCTCTGTTCATTCGGTCCCAATAGCCTAACAGCTCCATTAATAATTCTGTGTTGTATCTGTTGAGTGATCTCTTGTTAATAATTAACGCCCCACCTTCTGTTTCTGAGTGTGACTGCTATAATCATGTTCCTTTCACACTAATGAATTTCCTTCAGCATTTTGCAAATGTTAACCAGGTAATGGTCCAAATGTCTCCCTGCAAGAAGAACATGTTTTTCAGATCTGTCGATCAGAGTTAAAACATCATTTCCTAAGCCACACAGCTGGAGGCATAGGCTCTACGTAGCAAAAGTGTGATCAGAAACCCAAAGCTTCGATGTGTGCGGCTGCATCTGCAGATGTGGCCTCCGAGGAGGAGAGGAAGGAGCTTGCTGCCCAGGCGCGACATCGTGAATGCTGGAAGGGCACGAGACTGGGCATCACAGGAGTCCGCCTTATCCCCTGCTGCTAGCTGGTAATGCCAGCAAGTCACATGAACTGTCAGAGCTTCAGTTTCTTCATCTATAAAACAGAGGGAGCCTTCCCATGTAGGGTATCCTGGTGAGCACATGAGACCATTGTGTAAGCTGTACAAGCTGCTTGAGATGAAGGGTTCTTATTTGCGTGGTAGCCACTTATGATCCGAGCTTATTTATACATTTATACACGGGGAAGCGGGGAGGGGCTATGAGGAGGGATGGTAATTAACACAGACTCCAACTTCAAAGGGTAGAACCAGTTTAAATGGAATCACTTAGGTCAAAGACAAAATGGAGACAGGCACTTAAAGGAAATTAGTGTCACCTTCCAGGGAATGTGCAGCTCTTCTCAGAATCAGCAGAGGACACCAGCCAATCTCCAAGGGCCAGGTCTGTTCCTGCCATCCCTGGACTTGCTTGCTCCCGACCCTGATGCAGATAAGAAAGACCACTGAACAACCAATCAGACAGAAAAAGGCCCTAATAGCTTCTGTATTTACCTACCCCCATTAAAAAAAAAAAACAAACCCTGAATCTGTGAGCAATTCAGGACTCCTGACCCTCAAAGCTGGAGGTGCCCAGCCTTGCAATAAAGTCATCTTTCTGCTTTGTTTTGTCCTGAGTGCAGAGTTTGGTTTTCACAAAAGTAACAAGCTATTGACATGCAAAAACCTTAAAAATATAAAATCAGTAAAATGAGGCCTGGCACAAGATTTTATATCAGGATGCTTTTCCAGATAACAGACACCCCTGTGGACTAAGGTTCAGGTTACAAGTTTAATGTGTATCTATTTTGTACAACTTAATCACACACACACTTTTTGGGTGTAATAAGAAGGAAAAAAAATCAGATTTTTTTGTGGAAAACTAGCACTCGTCCCTCAGATTTCTCTAACACAAGGTCAAGTTTAAGTCAAAGCAATCATGAGTCTGCTGGGAAAATGGAAGTGTTAATGTGTTTGGATTTAAACTACTAGCGTGACAATTAACATACTAACTAGGCCATTGTAAGTCAGAGAAGAGTAAACCTGGGTTTTCTGATGAGCTAGAAAGTCTACACAAATGTGTGGAGTGCTGGATTAACTCAAACTAGTAAACCTGTTTACAACTTTGTGAGCAAGTTCAATGGCCTATGCAAAATGTCATGACTCAAGGAAGCAAACAGTAGGTACAACTTCCTCTACTAAACATGAACTACTTGTTTCGATGGTTTACCTATATCATTTGCAAGTGTAACTTCTCTAACTATCACTAAACAAAGAATTTTATCATGAAGTAACTGAAATATGTGCAGTTAAATTGGTTTAATCGTTAAAGACTTTTGCCCTATCTAGATCTGTGTTTATACCTGGACCTAACCTGTTCTTATCTTTTCCAAGGAAAGTAATAGCTAATCCAGCACTTTGATTTCACAGATCTTTTTATTTTTATTAAATATCAATATGATTTAAACTTATGTGTCAATAGTGAAATCTGCCCGAGAGATCCAAGCCTGTAACTTCTGGTTTCACGAACAGTGGTGCAGGATCATCACCAGCTGGCTCAGAGGAAGGCCTTCCTTTCTTGGACGCTGCAAGGGAACTGTGTCTGCTGGAGGTCAGGCCACACTCTGGGAAGGAGCGGTGGAATCTTACACCCTGTGCTTCCAAGTATTTCTGTTGCAGCCCCTATTAATGGTCCTTGTCAGTGTTTTGGATTAACCTGTCCCTGCTTGTTACCCTCCAGTTATTGACACCCACAAAACTGCCAGCCAGTACCCTGCTTATAAAATCCCAACCAACCAATGCCCTGTTTCTCCTCTATCCCAGTGACCAACCTTCATTGTCCCCCAGCAGGTGTGTGGGTTCAGGCCACACACCTCCCCCATTGTGTGACTTGCAGTAAGTGTTCCTCCCTTGAAACCTGTTTTTGGCTCTTTCAAATGTGTGTGGGGTTAATTAATGAGAGCCACACAAAGACCCTTCAGAATCAGTAACATTTCTAGAATCCGAACCAGGGGGTGCAGCATATGGCTGGCAGTCAGCTCAGGGGCAGAGAGTGGGGCTTCAGGGCAGTTCCACTTCCTAAGTTCTTTAGGTGAGAGAAATGTCATTTTTCGGAGTTTGTGGGTTTGGATTGCGGGGTCCTTGGGTTCACTCTGAGAAAGATTTCCCCAGAGCTCCCTTTTCAGTGTCCTTTCTGTTCCTTCCCCTATCAAGAACATTTACTAGTGCTCTTCCCACCAGTGAAAACAACTGTCGATAGGTTTTTATGGGTGTGCATAAAACAATCATTAAACACACAGAACAAACTGGCAGCCACTTGCGTCTTTTCGAGCACCTCTTCCTCTCCGTTCTGCCTTTTCTGTGTGGAACACGTAGGGTTTATATGACTTCTGACATCTTGCAGAAGGGGGTGGTCAGCCAAGGGGGGGCTTCTCCGAAGGGAAGGTTTGGCTAGGCTGGGATTTTCCTATTGGGTATATGTGGCAAAGTGCTAGAATTTATTTCTGTTCTTGAAACTTAGCTCCTCCCTTCCCTTTATGGACATTAACCACCTCCAGGGGCCCATCAATCTCATTGCCTTGTACTTTTGGAAAACAACCCTTCCTTGGGGCAAGCTCTGTTTGTGAAACTTTATTACACAGCAACTCAGTCTCACACACCTGTGCTGGGCGACAATCACCCGCAGCCAGTCCCTGCAGGTTTGAAGGTTACCTGGAGAACTCCAAGCACATCCTGTGGCCCTGCTCCAGACCTCAACATTCTTGAGTAAAATCTATGGGGTGATGTGTGTGTAACTGCAGAGAGAGAGAAACTTCCAAATCATCAAGGAGTCAGCCTGTATTTCAGAGAGTGCTTGAAGATTCAGTGGAGCTGTTTTTAAACCATCTCCATCCTTCCTCAGTAAATAGCCTGGTCTAGTCAGGCTCCTTATTAGTTCTTCCTCCCTTTCTCTTCTTTTTTTCTGACACATTTATAAACTGACAACAACTTTTGGGCTCTAGAAATAAATCTCATCTCCA